ATCTCAACACCTGTTGTGGGGCCCATTGGTTCACGTAGCACCCTCCCACACATATAGTGGGCATCTATGAAACTGCGGGCCCACCTATACATCCAGGTGTTGCAGCTTTTAGGCCCCTTGCCTTCCCCCGCCAGTGCCCTCGCAGTGGCGAGGACGCTGTCAAAATCTCCTCAGTGGTTCAAGGCTAGCTGTACCTTGCTGGTGGACCGGTGGCTGTAGTCATGGTCAAGAAATGCAAGTATCTCACCCCTAGGGGCTGCTGGAACTGAAAGGTCTGCAGGCTCCATGGAGCCTGATGGTTCTCAGGCATCCTCCTCCTGGTCCTAGGGCTCCAAGGGCTCCTTAGACACCATCTAAGGGGCTTCTTCACAAGATGGTGGGGTAGGGCTACAGCCCCGGGGGTTCTGTGCAGGGTCCCTGATGAGATTGGCCCATTGACTAGGGGACCCCACTGCAACCTCCTCTGGTGCAGGACTATGGGGGAGGCTGGAGGTGACATTTTCCTGGGAGGGGGAGGGAAGAGACCCGCCAGGCACTAGGGTGGCTCCAGCATCTGCCTCGGGGTTCTGGGAAAGGGGATCTCCTCCCTCAGGACTCACTGGGATGAGCCCCAGGGCCTCTGTATCCCCCAGATCAGAGGGAGGAGGCTCTGCTGCTAGGCCTTCCTTTGGGTAGGCCTCAGCCTTGGTGCCTGTGGTTTCAGGGGGTAGGCCTTGGTCAGCAGAATGAAGGGCTTCCTACATAGGCTCCTGTTCAGGACTCTCCAGCAGCCGTGAAACCTCCTCCATGAGGATCACCCATTTGATCTTTCCTGGGGGTGGAGTGTCAGGCACAGCTGGGGAGGCCCCTGGAGGCTGGGCCACTCCTTCCCCCCTGTGTGGTGGTCTTGGGAAGGGGAGAGGAGTCCTCCATGTTAAAGGGCTCCAGCTGTGCCCGGGCCTTCCTCTTGCCTTTACGCCCAGAGGGGACCTTCACCCACTCAGCCATGGGGTGGTCCTCAGGTGGGCAGGCTCCAGCAAGAGAAGGTGAGGGTTGGAGGGGTGGGGCAGCCACGATGGGGGTATGACTAGGGGCAGGGGGGCCCTGCTCCCTCTCTCCTCCTGGCTCCTCCTGGCTTCTGGTGCCCTCCCTGAGACTCCACTAAACTTGGTTGGAGGGCAGGGTCCCTTGAGCTCATGGGGACACTCGTAGTTGTTGCTGGGGAACTGGGGGCAGCCTGAGGGAGGTGGGGCACCAGTGGTAGGGGCAGACCTCTTTCCAGTGGGACCCACAGATACCCTCCCTTCCTGTCCCGTGGGGTACTCATGATGCAAATGCACGTTACCGGAAGCACCGCAGGTCCCCCAACATATACAAATCCTCACCAGTGCCCACTGTTAAGGAATTGCCAGGCACCCCTTAGCCTCCAGACATGCTCCTGCTACCAGCTAGATCATAACCTGATGATGGAAAGAACACACATGGTGGAGGCTGGGGTCTCGGCACTGCAGTGAGAGGTCCACCACAGGGGAAATAACTCCCCAGGTTTTGGAGCTGGGGAAGCAGGGCCCAATTGGGGATATAGGGAGGGATTGAGCTGAGAACCACCCTGGTCCCCAGCTCTTCTAGAGACTTGAGAGGGACGTACTCACCCTCCACAATGAGCCCCCTCTCCAGTGCCTTTTGTGCGGCAGCCTCCAAGGCAAGGAAAAAGATCCCCTTGCCATGAAAGTGGGAGGCCACCATGATCTTGGGGCTCCCGCTGCCTAAGCCAGGGCCTGCATCCAGGTCTCAAAGTGCAGGTTCTCCTGCTTGGGCATTTGGCATTTCACCCTGTGCCTGTAGGTGAGTGCCGGAAAGGGCGCCCTGCCACCTGAGCTAGAAGGGCCAGCAGTGGAGGGTCCTGGCCCCCTGGCTTCAGCTCTCTTTGCAGCTGCTTGTGCATATCTGTGGTCCCCCCCTGGGGGGCCAGGAGCTAGGACCAGAGCCGGGGCTGGGGCTAGGGCCAGGGCCAGGCTGAATGGGTGTGCTGGCTGGTGTAGTGCACCTGGTGCCCTCAGGTACTGGTAGTCTAGGCTTGGGGTCAGGGCCCTTGCCCTTCCCACCCCCAGCTGTGGAGGAAGCTTAAGTGGAGCCCTTCCCACTGCCTTTGCCCTTGATCACTGATGATGGGAGAAGGGGCTTGGGAATACATCTGGGGGTGTGGGGCTGGCCCTGTTGGCTCCCTACTGGAGTCCCACCTGCCCCTGCAGAAGAGGCTGTTAGGCTTGTCCACCCTGAAGAGGTTGGTCAGACTCTGCCTCTGGGATGGAGGCTGCAGGGGCATGCATCCCCTTGGGGGCTTGGCTGGGATCCGCCCTCATAGTGGAGGCGGCAGGAAGCTCTGTGGGGGCATCTGCCACCACCCAAAGGTTCCTGCCCTGCCATTGTTTTACATGAGGGCAGGGAAGTCAATGAAGAAAAACAAAACATTCAGTGGGGCTGGTGATTCTAGTAGGGGCATACTGAGGTTGTGGGGGAGAAGCAGGGTATGGTGGAAGGGAGCTGAAGCTCCCTGAGCTACAGCCCCACCAGAGAAAAAAAAGGGAGTCCTATGGTTTGAAAATGTTGGGGAAGACACACACACACACACACACACACACACACACACACACACACACACACACACGCTGGGGAAACTCGAGCTGGCTTACTCAGCCACATAACAAACACCGGGGTAGAGGGAGTGGGCCACAAGACTTACCACACAAGGGCAAGAACGCACAGGGAAGGCTGCTGAGACGGATGTAAAAGATGGTTGGAACGGTGGAAGGGCTTTGTTTTTGAAGATCTGTCCAGAAACCCTTCAGGCCTCCAGCCAGGTGCTCAGCAGAAGAGCAGTAAGCAGGAAGCCAGAGCAGGATCAGATGCAGTGAGGTATCTGTGGGGGAGGGCAGGAGCAGTCAGTCAATTAGGAAGTAATCCAGCGCAGGTATGGTGTCAGGTGGTGCAAGGTGGTGCAGCAGGGAATCTCCCTCTCTCCTGAGAGGGGGGCAGCAGCAGAAAAAACAGCAGCAGCAGTGATGGTGGGATACCTGCCCGAACATGCACTTTGGTGTGGGGCAAATTGTACCACATTAAGAGGGTCCAAAGGAGGACCACTTGCATGATCCGGGGACAGCAGGGCAGACCCGATAAGGAGAGGCTACGGAACCTGAACTTGTTCAGCCTTCACAAGAGAAGGCTGAGAGGGGACCTGGTGGCGGCCTATAAACTCACCAGGCGGGACCAGTGGGGTTTGGGAGAGACCTTGTTCCCCCTAGCGCCTCCCAGAGTAACAAGGAATAACGTCCCTAAGTTGCTAGAGAGTAGGTTTAGACTAGACATTAGAAGGCACTACTTCATAGTCAGGGCGGCTAGGATCTGGAACCAACTTCTAAGGGAAACGGTGATGGTTCCTACCTTGGGGGTCTTTAAGAGGAGGCTCGATGTTTACCTAGCTGGGGTCATTTGAGCCCAGTTTTCTCCCCTGCCCATGGCAGGGGGTCGGATTAGAAGATCTACAAGGTCCCTTCCGACCCTACATCTATGAAAATAATCCTTCCTGACTCCTCCTGGGTCTGCAGCAGGGGGAGCTAGAGCCCAGGGCCAGCCTCTTGCAGTGTCTCAAAGGGTTTTGAGATGCTACAAGATGTGCATGCACTCTCATCTGGATGCGCCCTATAGGTTGCAAGTTTGTAACATTTCAGCTAGAGACAATAAATTGCTATACTTTTACTGTTATGCTTTGTCCTTTGTGTCATTGAGATGGCCACTCCAGTGGGTTTAGTAAAGTAAAATACACATAAAATCACCTTTAGTAAACACTAGAGGGAGAAGGAAAAACCCACTGTGTTGTAGAGGTTAGTCATTTAAAGGTCAACAATAATTATGCTGGAAACTTCAAAAAATCTACTGATTGTTGAAAATAATAAATAATATCTTGCAATGAAGCTGGGATCCTGGTTCTAGTATTTAAATGAAGCATAGTCAATGTACAAAAATATATAATTGCTCCCTAATATATTCTGACTTTTTTAAACTCTTAAGTGGTAGAAGTGGAAACTCCAGTATAATTCTTTATTTTTAAAGAAGTACTTGTTTACTTCTAGAAGTCATTCTGTGGTATTGATCCTGACAATTCTGGCTAAAACCCTAGGTGGATTTTCTTAAAAGGATTTTTCTAAACTCTATGGCCACATCCACACGAGCAAGAATGTTTGGTTTGCCAGGGACAACTAGTAGCAGGATATCTTGTGCCTTGGTGGGTTCCCCCCTGGGAAACGCTTGTGCCACATGCCAGAGGGCGGGGCAGGGGAAGCTAAGGCCAGCACTGGGCTGGACCCAGCAGCCTTGCCTGAGGTCCTGATGGCCTCCTGGGGCTGCAGCAGTAGCGATCCAGCGTGGCTCTCACCAGCCAGGCTTCAGTTTTGAGTGACATGAGCTGTCCCCACATGTGCTGCTCTGCTTTATTTTATTTTTTTTGGACAGGTTTTTTTGACAATTGGATATCCAGGGGTCAACCTCCACCCCCCACTTACCCTGTGTTGCTCCTTTGCAGCATGGAGAACAACTGAATGTGTAGTATGTGGCACTGCAAATGTGTCTGTGGCATCACATACTGCACGGCTGCACTCGTCTGGATGAAGGCTATGAAGGGGAAGAAGGAAGGTTGATGTAGGAATTTTTCAAGATGTCATTGAAAGCTGTAATTTTAGCACAATTCAATATTTTCTTTGTGTGACATAAGGATTAACTTCAAAGAGTCCCATATTTTTCTGGATGCCTGAGCACACATTGATAGAATATTTCTATGAGAGGCAAGATCTCAAATACAAACTGGTGTTTGCTTATGTTTAAAGGGTATTCTATTAATGCAGATTGAACAGTTCATAGAAATGCATGGGGATAGTTAAAAGGCTAATTTTAAACGAAGACCAGCCATTGTAGGTGATCTTGAATGCCATTTCCTGAGAAAGTTCACTCTCCTTGCTCTCTTGTAGGTGGTGAATCTACAGTCAATTCTGTGGCTATGCGTATAGTAATGGGAAGTTGGTGGCTCTTCACTCTTATTGTGTGTTCATCCTACACAGCTAATTTGGCAGCATTTCTCACAGTCTCAAGGATGGATAATCCTATAAGGTAAGAATCTCTTTTTAACACAGAGCTGGAACTTGAATTTCATAGAAATGTTTCATCCAATTGAACACCCATTCATGTGACAAGGAGATAATTCTCTTATTTTCAGTGTTTGCATTTTCCTGCTACAACCCACAGGCAATTTATTGTATTGATACAGGAACTATTATGACACTTAAATATAAGAGAAAACTTTTGTTTCTTTTAAAGAAAGTATAAGTCTCCATATCTGAGACATCTTTTTATGGAAGTTTTCTTCCTTACTATTTCAGGTTCTTGTGTTCATTGTTTTTCTTGTTTACAATCAGGAGGAAATTTGAGATAATGGTATATTATTTGTATCTATAAGGAATTGTATAACATCTGGTCTTTCATCTTGCTCATACAATTTTGTGTGTGTAGTCATTTGGGTTATTTTATTAGATTTATACAAAATGATCCATATATGTGTTAGCAATATCATTGTGATAAATTACAGAGCCTTGTAATAAACGCAGTTGATTATGGCACTTTGACTTGCTTCCCTTGCACTTTTGTCTGTTAATACATATCTGATGTGAGTATTTCCAACAGTCCAAGCCTCTGGCCACTTTCAAATGCTGCAATTAAAAAGAAATCTTGCCAAGGAAATATTTCCTTCTCTTTTCCACAATGAGGATAAACTCCCCAAAATTACACTTGTATGAAGTGTTGGATGGGTCATTTATCTCCAGGCTTTCACTGGTGACAGTTTCATAGCATGATGTGTATGGCCCATCAGGGTGAGAAATGAGAGCTTTATGACATGAAAAAGGGAAGATTCCCTGAATTGCACCTGAACATAGAACTTGTTTCTCTCCCTAGGAAGGGCTAATGTAAGGAATTCATGTGCTACCCACCAGACTGAGTTACTATATCAATGTCAGTCATGTATATCTTGGAGGAGGTATCACTAGAATCCTTCTGCTCTGCTCTTAAAACAGAGGAAAACGGGAAATTTCTGTGAATAGCAGTCACAGTAGCTCCTTGTATCTGCTGTGGTCCTGACACTTGAGAGGATTAGCCATTTCATTTCTCATAGGAATTATAGTTTTCCCAAACTCATTTTAATTCACCCTGAACATTTGCACATCAGAATATAATACCATGGTTGGATATGATGTTCAAAGCAGGGCACATTCCTTTAGGAATCATTGGTGTGGCATAAACAAGATGAACTATCTTTCTGTCTTATACTCTAAGAAAATGGTCAGCCACATGCCATTAGTTATGACCAGCCCCTATGAGGTCCTCAAGTTGAGGACTCCACAAAATCAGATTATTCTCTACTTCATTTTTTTCAAAAGGGAGGGAGGGGAGGACCTACAAGGATATAGTGGGGGCCCCAATTTCTCATACATAGTGTGGTTAGGAAATAAAATGTATTTTCAGTCATTGCCTTGAAATGTGATATAGGCCTGCTGTTGACAAAGTGCCAACGGGTAGTTCCTAAAAATATATGCACCCCTGTATTAAGTGTTGATATGCAAGGCAGAAAACATCTCAGGTTCATTTGTAGACACCAAGTTGTGCTAGCTATTAGAAAAAAATCTTCTTTTGACTATTGCTGAGCATGATGGAGAATTTGGCTCCTTTGTTATCAACATGGCCTTTTTCCTCCATCTGATATGACAACCAGATGAAGCCTGGGAGAAAATAATAATTTCCCCTCATTCAATACATCTCTAATGGAGCAGATCACTGTAAAAATTCTCTGGTAGTCCCTGCTGTTTGGTAAACTAATTATGGTAGACTTCAGCTTGCTTATTATTTGGAGTTTTAACTTTTCTTAATTGTCCATAGACCTTGTATAAGTAAGTCTCCTTATATCTTATTGCAATAGTGTATGAAGGTTTCATAACAGGTAATGAGATCTGAACTAATGGACAATTGATGGTATCATAGAATAACTTACTTTTAACAAAGATTTTTTATTAATGTTTTGCATCATAGATAAGGTACAGTTTCCTAAATTATCCTGGCATGGCAAAAACTGTTTATTGAAACATATTATTTAAAATGTAAAAATAGAATATTTGTAAGACTGAAATTACATACTAATTGGGGACTGGTAGAAAGATGTTAGCTCAAAATATCAAATTCTCAGCCTCACTGTAGTTATTTTTGTGATATGAAGCAGATGGAAAACTGGCAAATATAGTTCTCTGAGAATTATGCTTATACAAAATAAAACTCTAGATGATTTAAAACAGTCAATAGGTTTTGTTTCACCTCTCTGGGCCCCAAAGAAGATTAAGTGACTAATAAACAAGAATACCTTGTTGCCCGCATTCTCCCCCAAAAATGTTACTCAAATTGCCAATTGCTTAAATTACAAATGAGACTTTATAAAGGGGAATAAAGCAAGGTGCTGCCTTTATTGATTACATGTACCTATTTTGATTCTTTTTTCTAATTGTATTTTATATACCACTGTACCAAGACGGTTAATAATATGCACTAGTCCAATTCGCTTTGAATTCAAAGTATGTTTCTTTTTTATCCCAGTTATAAATACATAACTGATCATTAGTTTCCCATAAAATGGGTTGCCAATTTTTAAAAAATTGTGCCAACCATTTATACATGTTGTAGTTAGTGGTATTTCCCACATTATTAAACTGATCCACGTTTATCACCAACTTCATGGGCCATCCATTTTGTATTTTGCTTTAATCAATAAAGATATTTCTTACTTTTTTATGCAAATACTGATGTGCTAGGTTTCTTAATTTTTTTAATAAAACAATGGGTTAATACAGTTTTTACACACATCCTGTTATGTTGGTGTTATAAATAGAATTTAAATGCAAATGATATTTCTTTTACAGCCTTAAAAAACATTTTATCACGTTATTTACTAAACAGACACACTACTTTTTTTTCTAAATGCCACTTTTCTAAACAAGTAAACTTTACAACTTAAAACTTGTATATGAATTGCTGTTTTTTGTTTCAAAGATTAGAACAACTTTACAGTCCAACTGGAAGGGGGTGTTTTGGTTTGGGATACACGGACAGATTTTTGGAGAGAATATTATTCATAATGTTTATTACATCTTTATGATATTTATATACATTTAAGCTATTGCCAACTTAAACTAATCCATTAAATAAACACAAACAACACAACACGACACGACAAACAACACAAAACAGACAGACAAAACAATTTTGCTCTGATGATAAAACCATGGCTTAGGTGAAGAAAATGCTGTTGATGGCCTCGTAGTTCTTTAGTCACCTTTCCTACTAGTTTAGATTTTACACTATAGCTTCTGCAAAAGAGGAAAGAAAAACAAACAAACAAACACACACCAATCTGCCAAGGAAAACTCCTTGCAGTAAAATATTATTTACATTTACACAATTACAGTGCTGACTATACCAAGTTTTTATAAACATTTTTTTCTTTTTGCCTTAACAAGTTGTTAACACTTTCCTTTCTAAAAGATTTACACTGTTTTTGAAGAGAGGGGAGATTAAAAAAAAACAAAACATTTTTCATCCTCTTTACCAATGAGATTGCAGATATTTATTTCTAGCAGTTTTTCTGCCTTGCAATACACACAGAGAACAAACATACAACACTCCTCCTTTTTATTGGACCAGCGATAGAAGTTGTTGTACTTAACCCAAATGGACCACAGCATGACCTCAGGCACTTTGAGATCAGGATCTGCCTTTTTTTTAAAACAAATGTATCTTTTTCCCTGCTTTAAATCAGTTATTTTTAAAATTACATTCTTACTCTTTCCTTTTAGTTGCTCTAGCATTTAAACACTGTTAATCTCTTATTTTTTTCTTCCTTTTTTTAAAACACTTTTCACATCTCTTTTTTTTATAACAGCTGCCTCCCACACCATGTTTTTACTTTCTTCTATTCTTTTTCCTTTACTAAAGGTTTTTCTGTTGGGGTATGCTCCCCCTAGCCTTTTCCCAATTAAGGGTAACCCACACGGTGGTAGAAGCTAGGGTTTTAAGGCACCCTATATTTGCCCCTGCCCATTCCCCAGGGTGATTATTGTGCGGCATTTTGCAGAGACTACCCTGCACTAACAGATCTTAACCATAACCCTCTCTGGGCTACAGGCTTCACAATCAATTTTCATCAGTGGCCCCTTCTTGCTTTGCTCTTTGCAAACCTATCCACCCAGCAAATCTTGATTTCTCTCTCTCTTTTTTACGGCTGCACACTTTGTGCTGGCCTTGCCTTCTACAAACCAAAAAAAACAATTTCTGTCTTTTTTTCTTCACAGACACACAGTCCAGTAAGCTCTATTCTAGCTCCCTCCAAAAGACCACAGGAGACGAATTGCACACCATGCACAATTCCTTCAGAAAAACTTTTCCTACCTTCAAACTATGCCTCTGCAGAGAAAACACAAAGCATGACTCTGTCTTTCCCTGCCCAGAGTAATTCAAAGTAATTTTGGGCACTGATTTCTGTTTACACAGCTGTACCTTGATGTTTCCCAAAATATGCTTTTATGCTCCTGTAACAATCTCTATTTCTTTTAGGCCCTTCACTGTTCCTGGAGAGGCGGCGGGGGGGTGGGGGTGGAGAACCAAGTTTCCCCTCACTTCCAATCACAAATCCTCTGCCACTGCCTGAGCAGATGTCCAGTAAAAAGTGTTTGTCTTACACTTCTTTAACTGTCTTTGATTTCTTTGAAGCTCTACTGCCTGCATAACACCTTACCTTGCCATAACTTGCACTGGTAACTTACACCTTACAAACTTCACAGGAAACACAACTGCTCTTGTAACCATTCATAAAAGACTAACCCTTTTCAAGGACCCTGTCATTTACACAGTCTTTCCAGCAGAGAGATGACTTTATCTGCTCTCTCCTAGCTTCCTATTGCAAACACAAGAGAAGGTTTTTACTTAAACCCAAGCGGAACACAGCATGTACTCATGTCCACTACTCTGCATGACCCAGACAAACAAAGTTTTCTGGTCAGAAGTAACAAACCACCTCT